AAAACTTGTATTAGATTAAGTTATTGAAAAAATTTAAATACGTTTGGAACAACCTGGATATGTGAAACTACTATAAACTTTATGAACTCTAAATATAGATCAGGTACTCCGGTGAAAACCTAGCATTTGAGTGGAGATGTGCTTATGTTAAGTGTAAAGTACATGCTGCATTTTGAAGATTTAGTATCAGAAAGCTTTGTAAAATACCTCAATAATTTGTAAATTGGTAACACATTGAAATGATACAATTTTAGATAGATTCAGTTAAATATTAAAATTAATTTCATCTGTTTCTTCATACTTTTTTAATGTGGCTATTAGAAAATCCGGAATTACATGTTATATTTCTATAGGACAGCACTGGTCTAGGATTTCTATTGAAGCTTTTTTAAACACAAAAAAAATAGGTATTATCTACAAGTAATAGTTAATTAGATTTACCAGTATTTCATACTTAATTCATATATACTTTGCTTCCATCTGAATTCATTTTTATAATTGCTAAATTTGATCCATTAGTAACAGGTCCTCATTGAAAGGAAGGTTCTATTGATGGTTAACTGTCTTAAGTATCTGTATTCTGAGATATCTTTATTTTTCGTTCATTCTTAAATGATAGCTGGGTATAAGGTTCTAGGTTGATAGTTACCATCAACTACTTGAACATTACTCCATATTTCTTATATTTGTAGTTGCTGGTGAGAAGTAATTCTTCGTAGATAATCCATCTTTTAACTGATAATTTCTAAGATTTTTCTCACTTTACTATAGTTTTACTACTTCATGTTTCATTGTATTTATTTGTTTTGTTTCCAGTTTGTTCCTTGGCATAAGCTTTCAATCTGGAGACTCATGACTTCAATTTGGGAAAATTCTCAGCCACCATATCTTTGCCTTGCTACTAGTACCTCTGTTCCTGGCTTCTGAATTGTCTGTTAGGTATATGTGGAGCCTCTCAATTAACCGTGTCTGCTAACCTCTCTTGCATAGTGTTCATTACTTTATTGCTCTTTGTTGCACTCTGAGCTAATTACTCAGCAGTCTATGATAGTTTATTATTTCTTCTGTCCCTGGTCTAGAGCTTATGTTTTGAGGGTTTTTTCTTTTTTATTTCAATGAGCCTACTTTTATTTTCAGAATCTGTAATTCAAACAAGTTCAACTACCTGTTGATTTTTGCCAAAGTTCATGCCTTCGTGGCCGATTCTCTGTCCCCATCTGGTCACCAGGTGTTCAGTGATCCACCTTCCTGCTGATTTGCCCTCAGATCAGCTCTCAGTGGTACTCCAGACTTCTAGAATCCCTGCTGTGCCTTCCATCTGGCCACCATGTTTGTCTGCCACCCCCCTCCTGGCTCTCAATTCACTACCCTTGCCACTCAGGTACTGAAGTAGCCTCATGTATGTGAATGAGACCTTTTTGTTTGACTATGGTTCTCTACCCTCTTGACCATTCTGGATTCAAACTGGATTAGCACAAGCCTGCTCTGTCCTGGGAAGTGAGACGAGAACCCTTCTGCCTTGGAATTCCTCACACTCACCTCATCCTTCCCATCAGCCCGCTAGAAGGTTGAAGGACGTCTGAGATCATCAGTGTACACCCCCAATGCCCATTTCCCCCTTTGTCTTTATTCCTCACAATCTCTTGGGACAAAAACTTTGGGCTTCTGTTTCAATCCCTTCATACCATACCCTCCTTCCTGTCCCCAGCCTCATGGCTAAGTGTTAAAGGTGGACAGGGTGTGTGATAAGACAGTCTGAAATGGTAAGTCCTTCTGAAATTACTCTATGTTACCCTGTTCAAAAACAGATGACAAGGTTACAGGGAATCTGGATGTGTTCACCTTTAAGGTTCTGTTGAATATAATTGGACATTTGATAATTTAAAGACTCATTAAGATACATATTTCGTTGCATAACATCTGTATAACAATTCACTGTCTATAAAATGCTCTAACATCTCACTTGGTCTTAAGCATGATGCTTGGGAGTTCAATGTCATTATCATCTGTCATTCACGGATGAAGAGACTCTAGGTAGAGAGCCAGCATTCAAGCCCTTGTCCTGACCTGCATTCATGCTACAGTACCACACTGATCCCAGGGTAAAGATCATTTGGCTTGTTTCTAAATTTGTTATGTGCTTGTTAATAGAAAGCCCTTATGGAGAGATTGCCAGAGAAACCAGCTTTGCCTTGAGTTGTAACTCTTCACATTTCCACTCTTACATTCATTCATCTGAAGCCATTAACATTTTCAGTTATACCTGTTTTTTGTGTGTGTGGCATCTTTCCAGGTTTCTTTTTTTTTTTTTCCAGTTATTTGCATTTGACTTAGGTCAGTGTTTAGAAAGTGATCCCCCAATCATATTGCTGTCAATAATGCACTGCATAGAAGAATATTGGAAATTATGTCATTAACATCCATTTTTAACTTTTTTAACGTCAGTTAACATCAGAATAACTGTGTGCTACTTCTTTAAATGCCTACCAGTTACAGGTGGAGGATACCCCAGACTGAACTGGGGTACCAACTGGCCTAACAGGTGTGAATGAGAGCCCAGCACTTCTTTTTTTTTTTTTAAAGAATTTTTTTTTTATTTATTCATTTGAGACAGAGAGATACAGAGAGAGAGAGTAGGAGCAGTGGGGAGAGGCAGAGGGAGAGTGAGAAGCAGACTCCCCGCTAAGCAGGGAGCCTGATGAGGGGCTCGATCCCAGGACCTGGAGATCATGACCTGAGCTGAAGGCAGAAGCTTAACGACTGAGCCACCCAGGCGCCCCCGAGAGCCCAGCACTTCTTGACAGAGGATCTCATTTGTGGCCAGAGGGTCGAGTTTGTAGCATAGAATTGAGCAAAGTCAAATGGTCCATACATGGACTGTCTTCATATGCTCACACTTTGTAAGGTTTTGCTCTCTCCAACTTGCCCGGCTGGTATAGCAAGATCTGTGAATTAGAAATTCCTGTGCAAGAGAGTGGGGAACAGAAAAGAGAAGCTCTGTTTCCCTTCATGATAGAGAAGGTATCAGGGAAGAGGGGAAAATGGTTGGTTCATTTGGTAAACAAGAACTCCATCATGAGAAGCGCCTGGGCAGCTCAGTTGGTTAAGTGTCTGACTCTTGGTTTTGGCTCAGGTCATGATATTTGGGTCGTGAGATCGAGTCCTGCCTCCAGCTCCCTGCTTGTCTGCTTGTCTCCATCTCCCTCTGCTCCTCCCCTCGCTTGTGTGGGTGCACTCTCTCTCTCTCTCTCTCAAATAAATAAATCTGGAAGGAAGGGAGGGAGGGAAGGAGGAAGGAAGGAAAAAAGAACAGAACTCCATGCATGTCTCCATCTTCTCTGCTCCTCCCCTCGCTTGTGCGGGTGCGTGCGCTCTCTCTCTCTCTCTCTCTCAAATAAATAAATCAGGAAGGACGGGTGGGAGGGAGGAAGGGAGGAAGGAAGGAAGGGAGGGAAAGAAGAAAAGAAAAGAAAAGAACTCCATGCACATGCGAGGTTCTGGAGAGAGGTGAACTGACAGACTGTGGAGAGAGAGAGGCTGTGGACAGCCTCAGGGAGAACTGAAGGTTTACTAGGTCATCTGCCTTGAAGAAAAGCTATTGACTTTCCAAAAGACTTTATCTACTTCTGATCTATGTTTTACATGTTATTTTATAAACTGTTTTTTTTTTTAACTTAGCATTATCTTATGTGGACTTTCTATGTATTCACACAGCCTAACTATTTTTAATCCCATTGCATTAATAATTACATAGTTTACTTAAATATTTCTCTATTATTTACTAATCATGTGAGTGGTTTCCAGTTACTCCTTATTAAAAACGGTACAACTAAAACGGTATTTTTACAGTCTGTCTTTGAGTCCTGGTTCCAAAACTGGAATTACTGGATCATTATATGATTAGTCCTGTGTTTCTTTCTCAGATTGCCAGTTTGTTCTTTGAAAATATCATATTAATTTACAGCGTCACAAGGCCCACCAAACAGTGGGTTTTATTATCTTTAAAATTTTTTCCTCATTTTATCAGATGAGGCATTACCACATAGCCGTTTCATTTTGCTCAAGCCAAGCAGTATGCCAAATGTCAGTTTGCTATTTGTATTTTTTCTCCCAGAAACTCTATTCATATCTTCTGCCCACCTGTCATAGAGATTGGGTAATCACCTTCCACATTTATATGGTTTTAAAATATGTGAAATAGTTTAATTTTCTAATTAGCTCAATCGTTTTCATCTTATTTACTGCCTTTAGCCAGTAAAAATATATTGGGATCTGCAGTGTGTCACCTACATCTAAGGATATTTTTCCCTCAGTTGTATGTACTGTTGTACTTACATAAAGGAGTCAGATCTGAGCTGTCACCGGGGTGACAGGTGCTGCCCCAGGGGGTGGGTCAAAATCAGGAAACAGATCAGCTGGGGTGGCCTGGCGTTGGGCTGTCCGGCCAAGGCTGGGAGTTCAGTAGAGATGCTGGAGTTGATAAAGAATAATAATCCATGACACATTTGTCAAGTCATATCAAGAAGCGGGCTAGAAATCAAAGCGAGGCGAGTATGGGACAAAAATATGCTTTTGTGCTCAGGCTGAGCTTTCTTAGCCTCCTGCCCTCATCTTAGAGAAACAAAGTTCCTGGAACGTGTGGTGGTTCCTGGCACCGCTGCCCCTGGCCACTGAGTCTCTGTTCTTTAACTAGTGGTGGAATCATCAAAAATCAATGAAAATGACGTAGGGTGAGTGCACATTAAAAACAGGGGTTCATATCAGCTCTTGCACCACTCCTGTTTTAAGATTGGAGCAGTTGTGCAGATAAATGCTGTGTGTGTGTGTGCGCACGTGTGCATGTGTGTAAAATGTATCCTCTTACAAACTTAACTTTTTCTCCACAAAATATCTGTTGACTTATGTGGTTCTGTGAATTGAAATAGCTATTTTTTTTCAAATCTGCCTCAAATGTGTGCTTTCCCTTTTAAATACAATTCACTGAAATATTTTCTTTCTAGTCTCCGGAGAATACAGAGGGCAAGGATGGATCCAAAGTAACTAAACAGGAGGTAAGTGTATCTTTGACATCCTGTATTTAATTATTTTAACTGAAATTTTTAAATATTGCTAGGATTGTCTACATCTGAGTGAATGCAATTCTGAATAAGGTTGTTGAGACTACATAAACCAGAGATAAAAGTGTCACTGTGGAGTGTCTCTTGGCCTAGGTAAATTTCAGTTGGGTACAGTGGTGCAGCATTTTCCACTTACTATGTTGTTTATGTTTCTACCTGTCGGTCTTACTATCTCGTAAAGTGGATACTGAGAATTCCTTCTGGGCAAAGAGCGAGATAATAGGTAAATTCATCAAGGAGAACAAAGTCTGCCTTTCACAGCAAGGAAATGAAAGACTGTTGATTTAATAAATTCTCCGCTCCGATGAGTGAATTATAAATTCCTTTTTTTAATGCTGAATATTTCCTAAAAGGAGTCATCTCTAAAGTAAAAAACTGTGAAAAGACACACAGAATGTCAAAATATTAAAGTTTTTTTTTTAATCAGTAAAATTCTTAGGGCTTAGGATAGTTAATTAGGTAACAATTCAAAGAAACTGTGTATTAAAGGGTATGTGCTAAGGTGAGCGCTGTGAATTTTATAAGAATGATGAATCACAGACCTGTACCCCTGAAACAAATAATACATTATATATTAATTAAAAAAAAATGGACTCAAAAAAAAAATAAATAAAGTACAGAAACCTCCAAAAAGCTAAGAAATGGAGAGAGATGGTTGCATTTACCCACCGTGGTAATATGAACTTCTAAAAGGAGATGGATGAAAAAGTAGCAGATTAGATGCTAACTCTGATGACAGCCATTCACTTTTGCAGAGCTTCACAGTGTGTAAAAAAACTGCAGCTCTTACCCTTGAGCTTATAAACTAAAAGGGTCATGTGAAAGTCAGAAACAGTATCTGGTTATAGATTCTTTGGGTGATTCATACTGTGGTTTAATAATTCAGAGGAGTTTGTCATGATAGCAGAACCCCTCCACAAAATTTGTACAAGGGAATTTGTTCTGCCAAATGGAAAATCTTTAACAGAATCTATAACTAAATTAATTTAAAAGCAAAACAAACAAAACTGCCTGTAACCAAGGCCCCACCATCATTTCCAGCATTCAGTGTCTAACAGAGTTTGGGAGGTGAAGTTTGTGGTCCCCTGTCAAGTTACTAAACAAACACTAGAATCAACCAAAAAATGACAAATGCATGGATTTTCCTGAAAATGGCAAAATGTAATTTGTAGGACAGTTGGCTAAGTGTAACAAATCTTAATGTAATTTTTAGATTTGGACACAAACCGCATTTGGATTTTTCCTTAGGAACTGCTATTTAAATTGATCTGTCAGTCAGAAAACCTAGAAACCATTACACACAATAGATCTTGGAGAGTATAAACAGTCTTTCCAATCCTTCTACACAGAGCAGTCAAGCTGGTTAGAATATATGTAAGAGATTCTTGCTTATCCAGCTGTCTTATACGTATTATTTTAGCCTCAGAATTTTAATTATTTGTGTTATTTATATATTTTATATTATTTTTAACAATTTACTTTATGTTATTATATATATTATTGCTAACAAAAATTGTTCCTAGAAAAAACTCTTACCATGTCATTTAAGCCAAGACCAGATTAAAACTCATGATTTGTCTTCAGGACATCAACACAATTGTTTGAAAAGTGAAAAGGTCAGTCAGTTAGCTGGTGGGTTAGGGTAAGAACTGTCAGACAGTATATTGATTGATTTTTCCCCCCCACTGAATTGACTGAATTTTCTAGTTATGTCATTGAATATGCACAGGCTTGACTATGGGGAATAGGTATCAGTTACAAAGAGGGATCCTCTTTTGAAAATCCTCTTCCACTGCCATGATATTTCAAGGGCATGGTGCAGAGTATAGTTTTTGGACAATAAGCGACCACAAAAATATGTTAAAAGCATCACACTTGGCAGTTTACAAAGCCCTTTCACGTTCATTATTTTATCTGATCATTACAATAACCCTGAAATGAGGGCAGAGTACATTCACTCCTCAACAGAAATGTACTGTGCACCTGTGATGTGCCAAGCACTGTTCTAGGGTCTGCAGTTTCCACAGTGAACAAAAGAAGCCAAAATCTCTTCCTTCATGGAGCTTCCATTTTAGTGGAAAGAGAAAGGGAGTAAAATAAAATCACTGGATATTTGCTATGAAGAAAAATAAAGCCAGGAAAGGGAATAATGAATATCAGGGAAATGCTATGTTTGATAACAGGCAGATATTATTATTTCCAGCTTTTTACTAGAGGAAACAAGGTCCTGAGAGAAATACATTATTTTCCACAGATGTCACAACTTGTGTATTGCAAAACCAGGAAAAATATCTGAGTCTCCTGATTCAAAATCCTATGTCCTCATGCCACTTTTGTGGTAATCATAAATCTGGCTATCCAGTGCCATTTTTCTGTCCTCTCCATTCCCCAGCCAAGGCTCTGCTATCCATCTTTCCCCACTTCCCAGTTTTCCAAAAAGGTAATTTCTATTTGGCTCCTCATTCGTCTTTGGAAATTAAGAGCAGCTTGACTTCTGGCTTTGCCTTTGAGTACACATGGTCCCTGACTTGTGATGGTCTGACTTAATTTTTTGGCTTTACTGTGGTGAGAAAGCAATGCTCATTCAGTAGAAACCATGCTTTCGGTTTTGCTCTTTTCCCAGGCTATCTTTATGTGGTGTGACGCTCGCCTGTGATGCCGGGAGGTGGCCATGAGCCGCAGCTCCCAGGCAGCCCTACGATTGCGAGGGTCGACAACCCATCCGTGTACAACCCTTCTGTACCTAGACAACCGTTCTGTTTTTCACTTTCCGGATAGTACTCAATAAATTACGTGGGGTATTCAACACTTTATTATAAAACAGGCTTTGTGTAAGATAACGGTGCCCAACTGTGGGCTAATATACATGTTCTGGGCACATTTAAGAGAGGCTAGTCTAAGCTATGATGTTTGGTAGGTTGAGTGTATTAAATGCATTCTCAACTTACGATGGGTTTATGAGGATGTAACTCCATTGGAAGTTGAGGAAGATCTGTACATGGTCAGGCTTAGGAGCATTAAGAAATCTTATAAAAATAAACATACTTCCAAATCCCATTGGAATGGCCCATATGTTTCAAGCAGTATTCAGCAAAGTCCAGTGATTCTACTTGAATCCAGCTATCCCAGTGAACTTAGTTGTAGTGAAGTTAGACTTCCACGTTCTTTTGCAACCAGGATGCTAAAGTAAAAGACTCTGTGTCTTTCAGAGTAGCCTTCACCAGAATTTGCTCCAACCCAGGGAGTGATCAGTTACTCAAATGCTTATTAAAGAATTTCGTTGTGCCCAGCCCCTATACACCACAGTGACAAACCCTCCCATATCTTGTCTCTGTAATTCTTGGTGACGTGTCATTCTGAAAGTCTTCTTTCCTCCTCTGAGAACCACTCTTTTGGCCACTTCTCACAAGGAGTCAGTCAACAAATTGAGAGAAATTCTTACTTTTTTTTTTTTCATAGTGGTCCTGCCCAACAGTCCGAGTCTCAAATGAATACTTAAAATGCTAGTGCTTTAAGGAGAAAAAACTGGCAGTCTTGTCCACGTTACAGCCAATAAATACAGCCCGGTCATTTATAGATTTTAAGGCTGTGCAAGCTGATGGAAGCTTCCAGGAAGGTGAACAAACTTGCATGCATAAGCTGCTGCCTGTGAGTGCAAGGTCTGTCTCAGCCTCCACTGTTTGCAGTGAAAAAGAAAATCTCTTATGGTCACTGGAAAGGGAAATTTAAGAAAAGTCCTTCTTAAATAGCATAGAAAGAAGAGCCAGTGAATTTTAGACAGAAAGTCATGAAATGATTTTACAGTAAAAGATGTGCTTTTTCGAGACGGTTGGTTTCGACAGCCTGGAGAGGCAGACCTTGTTTTTGCATTAATTTCCTAGGCTTGTTATTTCAAAACTCTTGTACTGGGCCTGAATTAAAAAAACGTAGGGAGTCCTCTGGATCAGAACGGCTTTGGGGCCCAGCAGAATAGTGCTTGCTTGGGGTTGGAGTATCTCTGGAAATCCCAAAGCGGTCTCTGACGTCTGCCTCTTCGGTATGCTCAAGGGATCACAGCGAGAGCAGAGGAACTGCAGCACCAGAGTTGGAAATTTTTCACATGGTTTGGCCTCGCTTCTGTGAGATTTTACTCACGACCACTACTTGGTGGATAGGAAGGCAGTTTAAGTAGTGGTGTATTTGGCGTCTTTTCAGATCCCATCCTGGACGGTAGCTGAGCAGTGGCCTCGGCACGGCTCCCCTCCAGTTCCCACTACTACACATTTCTGGTGCATATGCATTCTGCTCACCTCAGCATTTCGTGAGGGCCCCCGCTGGGCACTGGAGCTACGGAACTGCCAGACAAGAGGGTCTTGTGCAGTAGGGGTACAGACAGGAGACAGATGAGGTGACCAGTGAGGTAAGGCCGATGCCGTACATACGTAGACACCAGCTGGAGAGGGATTCAGATAAGGTCCGTTCACCCCTCTTGAGCATAGAGGTGGCCATTTTTTCTCTCAGAGTGTCTCTTTCTGAGCACTCTTCTACCAGCGGGGCTTCACCTGGGAGAGGGTGGGGTAGTTCTTGAGGCCATACAGAAGCATCAAAGCTGAGCTCTGTTTGGTAATTAGTGGATGCTCCGAGAGCATTCTGAAGAAGCACAAGTTACTTGCTGGCTGATTCAGTTGCTAATGTTGTCTTTTTTTGGTGATACCCAGTTCGTTGCAGTTCACCATCCTGAGAAAGGCATCACAGGATTTGGGTTCTGGTTCCCTGTGACTCATGGGTGCATTGTCATGAATGCATCCGTGATAATCCTAGCAGACACCATGGTGTTTCCTATGGAGCATCTGATACAGGCACTCCTCCCATACTAAGCGTCGAGCTGTACGTCCTCTTACCCTGTGCAGTGAATATATCACGGCTACCACTTCACCGGCCCCGTCTCCAGTCTCTGCATATTCTGTTAGCTGGCCTGAAGTCCAGCTCTGCTTTTTTCCCTGAGACCCCAGGGTTAAAATTATTCATGGAGGCTCTGGCCCTTCGTTTCCTTCTGTAGTTGAAAGGAAGATGAATTTAGCTTCCTCCAGCTATTTTCAGGAAGAAAGTTCTTAGATGTGAAGATGGCAAGAAATATTTCTTCCAGTTTGGCCTGACCAGCTGACCTGCACTGACCTAAGCACAGCTTCAAGAATTCCATAATTCCGGGGCGCCTGGGTGGCTCAGTTGGTTAAGTGACTGCCTTCGGCTCAGGTCATGATACTGGAGTCCCGGAATCGAGTCCCACATCGGGCTCCCTGCTCGGCAGGGAGTCTGCTTCTCCCTCTGACCCTCCCCCCTCTCATGTGCTCTCTCTCATTCTCTCTCTCTAAAATAAATAAATAAAATCTTTAAAAAAAAAAAAGAATCCCATAATTCCTTGCAGTTGTGGCATGGGTTCCTACTGACCATTTTTGCTGACCCCCTTAAAACAATTATTTGAAACATTTAAGCTATCGTAATGAGGCAAAGTCTGCATAAGACAGCAAGGATTAGGCAAAAGATCGAGTTCATTTTTTCAGCACATCCTTTTGAGAATCTACTATGTGTTAGGTGGAACATACACTGTGTTCTGCCAGAGACAGAGCAGTGAGTACAACAGACAAAAAGTATGGAGTATTTATTTCTGGAACACTTTTAAAGAAAGGCAGCTGTACTTTCAGAATGTGAAATCCCTTGGGGAGCCATCTTTTGCTGATGGTAAGTAGAGTATCAGTTCTGTGTGCTTCTTTCTGAAATGCCTACAACAGTTTGGCTATTTTAAATTTTCTTTGCAGTCTCATTTGCTTAATTTGTGCTGTCCTTGAAAAGATTTCCTGAAAAATACCGATCTCAATCCAGTTTTTCTAAATTTTCTAAACGTCCAAACTGAAAGATGAGTGAATTTTGGGGGCCCCCGGGTGGCTTAGTCAGTTAAGCATCTGCCTTCGGCTCAGGTCATGATCTCAGGGTCCTGGGATGGAACCCCACGTCTGCTCACCCAGGAGTCTGCTTCTCCTTTTCCCCCTGACCCTCCCCCGATGCTCGTGCTCTCACTCATTCTCTCTCTCTCAAATGAATAAATTTTTAAAAATCTTTATCAAAAAAAGATTAGTGGGCTTTTTACTCTGTTTAAATCTTTAGTTAAACGTATGCATTTAGCAGATAAATAAATATAAATACCTGTTACAGGTAAAAGGAAGTCTTTCTTATTAACTGCCTAAGATTTATCATCATTCTCCTTTCTAGCATAGTAACAAGTCAGGGAACTCCTACTTTTGTTTCTACACAATTATATACGTCTTTTTTTCTATTAATGTGTAAGTTTTAGTTCTGTTTGTAAGGAACAAGAGTCAGACTGAAACTAAGTTCTTAAACAGCTCCTCAATGCTCCTGTTGTTCATTTTATCACAAAAGGAGATTATGGGTCAGAACCTAAATTAATCTTCCTTTCTTTTTCTTGCCCACAACACCCTTAGTTAGGAGAGGCCATTTCTTTGAATAGTGTGTCTACACGTCTTTAGAAAACTTCCTCTTGAGTATTGTGGTACCCAGGGCACTTGAAGTACCCACCTGGAGAGGGTAATGGGAGCCATACCATAATACTCTTTCAACAAAGTCAGATATCAGGAATGAATTTTTAAAAACCAACTTGGTTTGGTATAATACGAATACATATTTTTTTCATTTCCTTTGTAGCCCACTAGACGGTCTGCCAGATTGTCCGCGGTGAGTACTTTAGAACCCCCTTGTTGTTAGTTCTTATGAGTCCATGTTCCCTCTGTTCAGGACAAAGCAGCAGAAGGAAGATTAAGGTATTATTTCCCTTGAGTTTTTTTATTTCCTTTTTGGAAATTACCTGGGTCAGAATTTCTAGCAAACGTGACCAGTGTTGCCAAGCAGTTTACTTGAGCAGATAGGTCATTGAAAAGTCACACGGCCACCCCCATTACCAAGAGTATAAAGCCCGGGAAGTAGTTGGACATTGCTAGATCTCTGCAACAAAAGAAGCACATTAAGCCAAGTCCTACCTCCTGATTCCACATGATGTGCTAAGGTGGACAAGAATTCGGAGTCTCCGCAGCTCATGCTTCCATCAGAATGTGCTGAAAGCTATCAGAATCCATGTGCTGTAGCCTCATTTCAGAACCAGAGAAGCTTTGAAAAAGTAATGATTCCACTTTGCCACTCAAGAGTCTCCCACTGTGGGTGAGGCCTGGGGAATAGACAAGGGTTAAGATCATTAGGTGTGACCAAGCCTTGGCCATGAATGGGTTCCAGCCCTTCTCACCGTGCTATGCTCCTCCTTGCTGTCCTGCCGGTGTACCAGTCCTCACTCCGCCAAGACAGGTGGTCAGCCTGGCTCGCTGGTGGAGGAATTTGGTTGAAATAGCTGCCCCCCAGGCTGCGCACTGAGATGTAGGGAGAAAGGCGTTGGCTTCTTGGCCGCCAGGAGCTGCTCGCTCCTTTGGCCTTCAGGGAAGCATGGCTTCCATCCTCGGCCAACACCTGTGCCTGGCACAGAGCAGGGAATAAATGCAGAAATGTTTAATTAGGGCACTGACAAGTTCAGAGGTATAGCCGAGTTTGGGTTGGGTGAGGCAGTGCTTCACGTGAGCTAAGGAAGCGATATTAGAGTCGCCCGAAAGATTAAGAGCCGGGAGGTGTGTGTGTACACAGTTAAACTGGATTCTTCTGCAGCCCCCTTAAGATGGTGTGCTCTGTCCAATATTAACTTTCACCAGGGTTCAGTAGTTACATTTTAACTTTTGTTAGGCTTAACTATAGATTATACTACAAGCCGCTATAGTCCGTGGATCTCTAGCCCATTAAGGGAGTAGACCTCCTAAATCAAATAAAAACCAAAATTTAAAACCAGGCTTTTCCTGAGCACCGTGAACCAGCAGTAGAAGCACCTTCCACCGAGATCATCTGCTGACACAGAGCCTCCTCAGTGGCCAGTGGGACTACAGACTGCAGAACCTCATCCTTTCTTGTCCCATCAACACGCTTGAATGCTGAATCTCTTACAGAAAATATAAAAGAAAATTATTTGCTGTAAATTGTGAAAACAAATATATGTTAATACAATATATCAAAGCCTGATACAACACAATTTTTTAAGTCCTGAAAATGTAGGAGCTCTGCAAGCTGCTGTATTTGGGGAATAGACTACAGATTTAGGGTGGTAAGATTAATAAAAACACCCCTTATTTCTCAAGCCGTTTTCTTTTTGTATTTGAAAAGTCATGTCTAACAGCCAGTCTTCTGGAATTGCACTGTCTACGATTTCCCTTTATGCCCTTGATGAACAGGGCCAGATTCAATATGAACCTGAACCACCTAGAGGCATTGCGGAGGAATTTTTCTCCAGAGGGGAAGACCTTGGGTGGTGTTTTCTGCTTAAAAGCCATTCTCCCTAGTGCTCCGAGAGAAGTACACTTATTTTTTTCTAGCTTGATGAGAGAAATATTTGCCCTAAAATAGCTATAGAAAACCAGAGGCTTAAACCCGTTATCTTCCCCAGTGTCCCCACGTGCACCCTGGTCTAGGAGCCCTGGTAAGCAGGAGAGGGCTGAAGCCCCAAATGGAGGGGACCTTGGCCACAGGGTAGGCACTGCTCAGGGCAATGGGGAAGAGAACCACATGAATCAAGAGGAAAATAGTCACTTTGTGGACTCTTTGGCTAAGTTTAAGAAAAATCTTAAACTTTGGAAGCTAACAGTGGACATTTTATTATTATAATTGTGTTCTTAATAAAGAGCTCTAGGAGCAAGTGAGCCCAGTGTCTGGGTGGGTGAGAGATTCTTCTCTCACCTTGAGCTGGCATTGGAGAGGATGAAAGTAGAAGAAGCTTGGCTACAGAACTTGAAATCAACATCAGAGGTGGAAGGATGTGGAAATGATTTTGAAATACTTCACAGGCAGCAGTCTTCATTACCGGATGGGCTTTGCCTGCGATTGTGCTGTGATTTCTAGACTGTTGGGAAGGCTAGTGTGACCAAATTCATTGAGTCATTTGGCTGAGGGCCTGAGTCATTCCTCTTACTGCTGTGCTGTGATCAAAGGAAGTACAGAGACATCAGAGATGGAAGCTTAAACCTGTTCCTGGAGAGCTACTCTGGACTGGGGAATAATGAGTCGGCTTTTAAATCTCACCTGCTGTTCACTTGAGAACCCAGGATGAAAATAGTTATGAAATGCACAGATCTTTATGCTGTTACCTGATGCTGAAAATAGAACGAAATATTTTTAAATGAACAGAATCAGAGTCAAAATGGACTGTTGTCTTTTGCAGTCTTGCTGTGTGCCTTTTGGTCCTCAGGGTTGTCTTTTTCAGTATTTGTATAATTTAATTTATCTTTGCAGAAACCTGCTCCACCCAAACCTGAACCTAAACCAAGGAAAACATCTGCTAAGGTAAGAGGTGCTCCCTCCCCCATGTTGGCCTTTTTTAAAACAATGAATAAATTATAATTCCATATCTAAAAATCATCCAAGGAAAGATCACATTTACTGATTCAGGCTAAACGTATGATTAGGAAAGTATCACCATTGTTAACATTCTTTCTCAAAAGGCATAAAGCACAGTTTTATGCTTTACCAGGAATTTCTCATTCGGTCAGTAAAGGCAAAGTCAGAGCATGTTACTCCGAGAAGCCTCATGTCCAAGAGGGGTTTGGTAGCCACATGCTGTTCACATGGCGGCTCGGAAAGCGTGAGGCTGGGCCCTGGCCACAAAGTGGCCCGCAGCTCTAGGGGCTGGGGGAGGGGGCCGGACTTCCTGTAACTGGTCTTAGGCTGGGCTGATGACTCATCATACAATAATTAATACTAGCAAATAATCAACCATCAGCAAACACTTCGTGGCTCTCCTACTATGCTAGACCCTGTTCTAATTGCTTTTCTTATGAAGCCGTTGCATCAGTCCTACTGAGGTAGGTACACACACCCGGGTTTGCTAATGAGGAGAAAAGCACAGAATTATTAAGAAACTTATCCCAAATAGCTTTTCTGTGCTCTGCCCTTCAGAGCATTGTTGTGAATTGTTTGAAACTACATGTTATTTGGGGGGTTCCTGGGTGGCTCAGTCGGTTAAGCGTCTGCCTTCGGCTCAGGTCATGAGCCCGGGGTCTTGGGATCGAGCCCCGCAGCGTCGGGCTCCCTGCTGGGCGGGCAGCCTGCTTCTCCCTCTCCCACTCCCCCTGCTTGTGTTCACACTCTCTCTGTCGCTCTCTCTGTCAAATAAATAAATAAAATCTTTAAAAAAAAAAAAAAGGAAACTGTGTATTTGTGGCATGAGTAGATGATTCTGAAGCAGAACTCACTTCTGTGGCTTGTATTAAATTCAGGAACTTTTCTTCACGTGGGGCTTCATTTTCAAGCATTTTCTCAGCCTTCTCGTCCCTCGAGCCCCATGTCCCCACGTGAGGTGTTTCTCTTGCTGGCTTCTTCCCTGGCTTCTGCCTCATCCTTCAGTTCCCCACTGCTCTCGGCGGCAGAACCACTTGTCTGTAGCGAGTGAGGAGGCCCACTGAACAAATGCATGAGGAGAATCATCATCTTTTCCTCAGAAGAGGAAGTCAGTGGACCGTCTAAGCAGCCCGTTAACATTCTCATAGAGCCTCAATGTAACTCACTTGAAGCCTTGCAGACTTGGCTTCTCCTTCCCCACCTGAAAGCCACCGTGTTGGCCATGGTTGCACTCCGCCTTGTGTTTGGACGAGGCTGACGGATTTTCACTGACCTCACACCCTGTCTAACATGCTTTGTTTCCCTGTGCTCTGACCCTCTGTTAGAAAGAACCGGGAACAAAGATTAACAAAGGTGCTAAAGGGAAGAAGGAGGAAAAGCAAGAAGCTGGAAAGGAAGGTACTGCACCATCTGAAAATGGTGAAACTAAAGCTGAAGAGGTACTTTCCATGAATACCTCCCACTGACTGACTCAGTGCCTTAAAAGAAATTGCTCAATGCTTCAGCCGGTGATAGCACGTTCATAATGTCTCTTTTTATTGCCCATAATGTTATTGCAGATCCACATCTCTCGCTCAACTGTTAATGTCTCAACCTCCAGAGGTACCCCACCCAGCACACTGTCAGTAAAGGGGCAGATTGAAACAGTGAGAGTTAAGGGTACAGTAGAAAATTCTGCATGTTTGCAGTGGCTAGAAGCAGATAGTAGTAGTGTGGTGTTTTTTTATCATGAACAGTGGGAGCTTGCAGGTAAAGCTTCTGTGGCCGTTTGAAAAGCAGAAAGCAATCAATGCAGCAAAGTGTTTGCGTACTGTATTCCTGCCTTGTCTGTTTTACACCCAGAGTCGAATTAGGTTTTGCAATAGAGCTGCTAAAAAACAGATGTTCAAAGCGTGTGTGTTGGCTGGGTAGACTTTTCTTTGGCTTCTAGTACGTTTAATAGTAACTGTCTCTCTTTTTTTCCCCTTTCTTTTTCACAGGCACAGAAAACTGAATCTGTAGATAACAAGGGAGAATGAATTGTCGTGAAAAATTGGGGTTGATTTTATGTACATCTCGGGGCAACTTTTAAAAGCTATTTTTACCGAGTATTTTGTAAATGCTAATTTTTTAGGATTCTACTAGTTGCGTACAAAAATATATAAGGATGGACATTTTATCTTCTCATAGTTGTGCTTTTTGGAAATTTCCATCATCCTCAAGTGAAATAAATACCAGTTTGATATTGGAAGCTGTGTGTAAGATTGATTCAGCATTCCATGCGCTTGCTTTAAAAATCGAGTCCTGTGCATACTGTGGTGTTTTTACTGTGTGTATTTAAATTTTTCACGCAGTTTTTCTAGAGCAATAATCAGTGGTGCTTTTGTACCTAGGTTTTATGTGATTTTAATGAAACATGGATAGTTGTGGCCACCTGCTGACTATTTGTGGTTTAAAATAAAAGGTTTTCTTGCCTGCAAAATACCTGCCTCTTAGTAGTGTCTTTACTAAACTTGGGCAGTGTTTCATTTTGTTGTTGCTGAAGACGTGAAAAATAGTTGCAGTTTGTGCCATAATGGTATCTCTAGTAAGTCAAACAGGATGATTTCTTAATTACTGGGCCTTTAAAAATGTTGTTATTTTTAATAAGACCATCTATGAGTGCTAGCGTGGAAGAATTACATCTGAAACACTCGATGCCAGAAGTGCTCAGCAATGATCGCCATATAATAAACTTAATAAAACAGTACTTTTTAAAAGGTCTTTATAAACAGAACAGAGTTCTGTTAAACCAGAGCTGATGAAAAACCGTAAACTAGGGCTGATTCTTGAGAATCTGTCACTTTTGGGGTGCCTGGGTGGCTCAGTCGTTAAGCGTCTACCTTCGGCTCAGGTCATGATCCCAGGGTTCTGGGATCGAGCCCTGCATCGGGCTCCCTGCTCAGCGGGAAGCCTGCTTCTCCCTCTCCCACTCCCCTGCTTGTGTTCGTGTGCTCTCTCTCTCTCTCTCACTTCAAATAAAATTAAAAAAAAGAAAAGAAAATCTCTCACTTTCAAAGTACACTGAATCACATTTAAAATACTTTCCCATTCATTGAGGACTTCACCATTTGAAAGCTCTTTACCCAGCATGACCACATTTTAGCCTTGCGTGAACCGGAGAAAGGAGGTGGCATAGTTAATATTAGAGCTCCTTTCTAGGCTAAGATATAGGGACTTGGATATATATGCCTTCAGGAATGAGAAAAACCAGGATTCGAACCTGGTCTTTTGTTGAATTTTAAACATAGCCTATTTTGGTCTGTTCAGGCTGCTGTAACAAAATACTACAGTTTGGGTGTCTTATAAATAAGAGAAACTTAATTCTTACTTTTCTGGACACTGGAAGTCAAAGCTGAAGGTGTCAGCATGGTTAGGTGAGGGCTGGCTTCCAGGTTGTGGACTTCTCACTATGTCCTCCCCTAGAGGAAGGGACTAAGGAGCTCTCTGGGCCCTCTTGCCTAGGAGTAGTAATCCCATTCATGAGGGCTCCACTCTCGTGGAAACACCTCCCAAAGGCCCCACTTCCTAATACCATCATCTCTGGGGGGTAGGATTTCAACATAGGAACTTAGGGGGATCACCAGCATTCAGACCATACTGGGGTCCTCTTTTGGGAAGGACATAGGACTGCCAGGAACAGAGGAATCACTTTGTAAAGTAATTTGTTTTTATTTCTTTGCATTCCTGAGAAGTTTGGAGACTGCATGAGCACCCCAGGAAAGCTGAATTCTAGGGATTCCTCTTAGATGAAGATTTGAATCTTTTAAGATGGAAAGTAGCACCTGCACTGCTCAGGACTCTTGCAACCAAGGCCGTTGTTCCTCAGGGCCTTAGCATATATTGGAGGGCTCAGAACCTGTGAGCCAAGGTTGTCCCAAGTATGTTGTGAATCCACTGCAGTTACCAGCCAGCCATATTATATACAGAAAAATCTTAATCTGTTCATAGTTGTTTTTGGCTTCTGATTATAAAATGTACCTTAATTTGTGTTGGACATGCTGAACACCACTTTTACCCAAAGGAAAATAGCTGGTATCCTGTGAATACTTTATGAGAATATTTTCAGTGTGCAGTCAGTACACAGCTGAACTGTATTGCTGACTAGCTACCAGTTCACAAATGCAGTATGAACTTAACAGGTCTACTTTTTAAACAATGACAAAAGTGCTACAGGTGATTTTTTTTTTTAAATAGACCTAACAGTTGTACATAGAGAAGTCAAAGTCCTGCTCTCTCCCACTCTTGTGTCTTAGAGGTAACACCGCACTGTTTTCTCTGTATATATATGTGTGTGTGTGTGTATATATATGAACATACATGCACACACACATATATATGTGAACATACATGCACACACATGCACATGTTATTTTTAAAGGAGAGAATATTATATACATTCTATTTTCAACTTATTGAACCAATAATTGGAGATAAAGATTATTTCTAATACTGCAGTGCTGTCAGTGATACTGCAATAAATATTCTTGTGCACAAAGCTTTGCCTTAGATATTTCTACTCAACTAGATAATTTCCTGGAAGTGGAATGTCTACATCAAAGGGAATGTACATATGACATTTTGACTATTGCCAAAAAGTTGTGCCCATCCACTTCCATCAACAGCATATAAATGCCATCTTATCTTACCTTTGCCAGTACTCTTATTTTGGTCAACCTGGTAAATGAAAAATAATGCCTTACTGCTTTAATTTTAGATTTGTTACTAGTAAGATTGAACTTTCCGGAGTGCCTGGGTGGCTCAGTTGGTTAAGCGACTGCCTTCGGCTCAGGTCATGATCCTGGAGTCCCGGGATCGAGTCCCGCATCAGGCTCCCTGCTCTGCGGGGAGCCTGCTTCTCCCTCTGCCTCTGCTTCTCTCTCTCTCTCTCTTTGTCTCCAATAAATAAATAAAATATTTTTAAAAAGATAATAGTTAAAATTTATTTAATGCCGTGTGATAAGTACTTTACATAATTTGGGAGAAAACTTGTGAATTCTGTATTATTTTAATGTTCCCACCCCCTAGTAAAAATGAACCCAATTTTCCAATGCCAAATAGAGCTCAGGCTTATTTAAAACTACAAAGGGAACTTCGTGATTATCTGTTCTTCATGGGAGAAGAAAAAGTCTTTGAAATCCAAGTTTTAAAATGATATTTATATAAACTTCATGACTTTGAATTAAGTAATGGTTTATTAGGTATAACACCAAAAGTACAAGCAACCAAGTAAAAAATTAGCATCACAAAAATGTCAAGAAAAACACAGAATGGGAGAAAATATTTGCAAATCATATCTGATAAGAATCTAATATCTAGAATATGTAAGGAACTCTTAATGAATTGAAAATAAACAGTTTTAAAATAATTTTAAGATGGGCAAAGGATTTGAAAGATGTTTCTCCAAAAATGTACATCAGTAGCCAATATGCAAATGAAAGGATGCTCAACAATTAGTAATTAGGAAAATGTGAGCCAAACCATTGCAAGATACCATTTTACATGCACTAGGATGACCTTAAAAAATGGAAAATAGCAAGTGTTGGAGAGAAAGTGGAGAGATTAGAGTCCTTTTTCATTGCTGGTGGGAATGTAAAATGATGCAACCTCTACAAAAAATAGTTTGGAAGCTCCTCAAAATGTTAAGAGAGTTAATGTATGAGCCAGCAATTCCACTCCTAGGTACGTACCCTAAAGGACTGAAAACAAATGTTCACACAAAAGCTTGTACGTGAATGTGTATAGCAGTGTTATTTATAACAGCCAAAAACTGGAAACAATCCTGATGTCCGTTAACTGATGAGCGCATAAGCAAAATATAGTAAGTATATCCATACAACGAAAAATTATTCGGTCAAGAAAAGGACTGAAGTACTGATATGCTACCACATGGATGAACCTTGAAAACACCATGCTAAGTGAAAGAAGGCAGTCCCCCCGAATCACTGATTATATGATGTCATGTATATGAAATGTCCAAAATGGGCAAATTCATAGTGGTAGAAAGTAGATACATGGTTACCAGGCATTGGAGGGAGGAGAGAGTGGGGAATGGCTGCTAATAGGTACAGAGTTTCTTTTTTGGAGTGATGACAATGTTCTGGAATTGTGGTAATGGTTGCATAACCTTGTAAATATAATAAAATGCACAGACGTGTACACTTAAAAAACCACGTTTGCAAGGCTACTGTTAAGCACAGGACTGAGAATCAGGAGGTCTGGTTTTAAATCTCAGCACAATCTCTCACTAATTGTGTGAAACCCAACAGGTCATTTAACTTCTGCTTCTCAATTTCTCATCCTCAAAATAGAATTAATATCTGTTTGACAAAAGCTGTTAAGATCAAATGAGACAGTCACTGTGAAATCACTTAGTGCAGTGCCTAAAATACAGTAGGTTTTCCATAGATGCCAACTGAACTGAAATTGGATGAATACAAATGAGCCGAGTAGGCTTTGATGAGCGTGTATCATGTATGTTCGTTTTAGGCAGTCAGCCTCCAGTCAGTCTCCTTTGAACAGTTTAAAAGGAAGAATTGTCTTGCCCTTAAAGAAGGCAATATAGTGTAATGGTTAAACTTATGAACTCTGAAACCAGACTGCCTGGGTTCAAATCCTCTTTGCTACTCACTGGCTGTGTGACCATGGACAGATTACTCAGTCTCTCTATACTCTGTAGATCTTAGAGTTCCCATCTGTAAATGGAAACAAAAATAGTACCTATTGTCTAGGGTGTTGTAAATGTTAATGGTACAAAGTAAGTGTTCAGGAAGTATCATATTTGGTTAAAACATGAAGCAGATGAGATGTTAGGTCCTTGAAGGAAGGGATCATTGTCTCATTCTCCTTTGTGACACGTAGTAGAAGCCCAATGAATGTGGTCTTCCAGAGACAGGGAAGAACCAAGTTCAGGGTTGTTACCATTGCTATATCCATCTCCAAATTAAGCTAATTGGATGGTGTAGCTCAAATATGCAAAACAATTCTGGTCAGTCTTCCTTGAAATTAACATAAAAATTAAACCATCTTTATTTCACTTAGTTTGTATTTAAGCTAATGCCTTTTAAAACACACCTTTACTACCATAACTTTAAGAACATTTTTCTGTTGGTTGTGGTATTATTCTTATAACAATACCTGTTTAAGCTGTGTACTCACATACTTTTAATTTAGACCCAGCTTCACTTTCCTAGAAAAATACACCACGCACGATATGCAATGCCTTTATTTCTAGGTCACAAAGCACTTAACAATTAAACAGGGATTATATATTCTTAGAGATAAATACATCTGGACCTAGGTTAATGGGTCTTGATGAGTTCCTTGAAGCCAAATCATCAACTCTGAAGAGGGGAAGAATCCCTGAGGTCATCTAGTTCCTCTCTGATGTGGCTTAGATTCCCCTTTATAACAGGACAAGCAAAGAGTTCCTCAGACTTACAT